GCATCTCAGTGGGGTTCAAGTCCAACCTCAAACTAGCTCACACTAAAATGGAATTTTATTCAATTTATGAGCCATTTTGAAGTGAACTTCTTGGAAGTGTTTTGTTTATTTTTATGTTTAGATCATTGCCTCACCAGGGTTGCCCTTGCACTCGAAACTGAGTTCTGGGATTTTTGGCAAGAGCCCCCAGACATGCTAGCGTAATCATCGATCTGGTTTCAAGCCCAGAAAAATGGGAGGGGTGCATTAGGAGAATCCAAGCAGATCCACCTGCTGTGGTGACCCTTCAGCAGCAGCCGCAACTACTTTTTGTTCTACAAGATTTTTGGTCAATATCAAGTTTCTCTCTGCCAACTGGCTCCAACAGCATTCACAACACTAACACTTCCACGCTTGACTCTTCGTAAAACATCCAATTTGTTGAATTCTGAGTCTGGTTTATACCAGGTGTGACACTTTTTCTCTTACAAAAAGTTCATCCTAGTCATTCTTTAAAACATTGACCCAAAATGTCAGAGTCCATTAGAGTATGTTTTAGCAGAGTCTGTATAAGCCTTAGTTTTCTTCAAAAGATGCTATAACGTCTACACTCTTCCATGGGTCTCATTTTTGCCCGATGTGCACAGTTTCTTACATGTTTCTCTTTAGATGTGTGTTTCTGCTGACCTCTATTTTTTTTTTTTATGACTTCCCGGATGAGCCGTCCTGGAAAGTCTTTATTTATTGATAATGTCTCGTTGTGGATCTGGAGGCCATGTGTCTGCAAGGGTTTACACGAACCGGCCTCAAAAATAGCTTTGTAACCCATCCCAGACTGATGTATTTATCACTTTCTTCTTAAGTTCTTCAGAATTTCTTTGGATTTAGGATTATTGTGTTGCTGGAAGGTCATTTAACTGACTCTGCGCTTCTGAAAATCTCTAAGTTATTTTTAGTTAGGACTGGTAGTAATCAGGTGTGGTTGTCTAGTCAGGCTGTGTGTGTGTGTGTGTGTTTACACAAGGTTAGTTGGTATTTGACCTTTAAGACTACTTCAGTTGCTTACAAAAATGGGAAAAAAAATCCGAACTTGGGGCCAAACATTTTTTTTTAACTACAAATGACAAGATTTTATTTCATGACCTTATAAGGACAAATCCACCAGAGTCTGCAGGAGAAGGCAATCCTCATCAATTAGTACAAAAGACTACTAATTTGATTAGATTATTCTATTTCATCTTTAAGCTGGAACCTGTTAGCATTACCATTCACTAGTATTACACACAATAATCACATATAAAACTTAAAAGGGAAACGGACTACAAAAAACCCAACTTTAGCGGTGTGTATCTGCTGACCTCTACTGTTTAACCTTCTTCATTGCAGTGAAGCGGCAGCCTCCTGGTTGTGACTGGTTTTGTCAGTATACAGTTTTCCTTTAACATTAACAGGCATTACAAATGACAACATGACTGAACAATAATGCCTCAATTTGAGTCTAAATTCAAATTTTCACTGCTGGTTATATTTATTCTTCATCTGGTAACATGATGAAGAATAATGTTAACATATAACTTAGTGTGCCCAAAAAAAACTCTGCTCTTTATTTACACGAAAAATATAACAAACCATCATGGACACATTAAGTATAAAGTATAAAGCTAGAGGATTTCTTGTGGCACGTGATTTAATGTGACTTACGGTAACTAAGCCCTTGTTACATTCCTGTTGTGACAAGTCACCGTATGTCTTCTGTGAAAAAGGTTTCACTACAGTACACAACACCACTGGGTGTTCTCAGAAGTGAAACACACTTAAAGACTTCCACCACAGCAGGCTCCAAAACACTGATTTAAACTTTGCTGTAAGAGTCCTCTTTAAAACTAACATACTAATATACATGTACTTGCCTTCCAAGTGTACACTCCAAGTCATGGAGAGTACATGTAGATAACATCTAACAAACAAAACTGCTGACACCACATGCCATTGAGGTTCTTTTATTTACCTTAATGATTGTACCCGTTTCCTTTGACTGTCCTGATAAAAAAGACAAAGCTTCAGACCTCTTCTTCTTTCTCCCTTATGCTAGCACAGACTGTTCTGCTCTCAGTCTGGATTACTTTGGTCCTGAGGATGAGAGCAGGTCCAGCAGTAGCACCCAAAGCCAGAGTCCCCCTCCAGGTAAATAACTACACCTCTCAATTGTGATACTACCTTGGAGCAATACAGAAATGAGCCTAGATCAGGGGTGGACAAATACTTTTCTCAAGAGGCCACATTAGAAACTGGGACTGTTGTGGAAGGCCAGACCATTAAGCTGAACTCAATTCTGCTCAATATTAATCTTATCTATTTAATTCAATGTTATTTATATAATGCCAAATCACAACAACAGTCTCATCATGGCACTAAATGTTATAAGGTAAAGATCCTACAATAATACAGAGAAACCCCAACAATTAGACACCCTATCAGCAAGCCCTTTACTGACAGTAGGAAGGAAAAACTTAATTTTAACAGGAAGAAACCTTCAGCAGAACCAGACACAAAGAGGGGCAGCCATCTGCCACGACTGGTTGGGAGTGGGCTCATCTCTTTATAAGCTTTTTAATGCATCCACCCACAACAATCCCAGTTTCATTTGGGAACGTGGGAAAATTAATTGCCCACCCCTGCCTTCAATGCTGCTTGTGTTGTATGTCTTGTTATAACGAAACGCTTTTGCGTAAAGGAATTGATCCAGAGCTGTATGAGTTGACCATCAGCAAGCTGGAAATCAACACTAACAGCAGCCACCTAGAGGACACTTTGAATCGCCTGATGTCCTCCGCAGAGAAGACAAGCATTTCAGTGAGGTCAGTGAATCTGATATATGATCTGTTTTTTTGTTTTAAATTGAAATAATTCAAAGCCAGTTTAACTGTTACTGTTTGGTTGTGTGTGCTCTCTGACAGAAAATTCCTGCCGAGTGAAGAGCTCAGTGAAGAGGCTTCCAGGGTGATCGCTGTGCTTCCTAACTTGTCTTTCATGCAGGCCAAGGTCCTCATGTTCCCAAGCGTACTCCTACCCAAAGCATGCACTTCTCCAAAATGACAGCACATTGTTTATATTTACAACAAACTGGATTGTGAAAATTTGAGATATTTTTGTTAAACACACACAGATGGAAGAGTTCAGAACATTTGATAACACAACTGATCATTTTAAACACATTGTGATATGATTGCTTGTGTGCAGAGTTCTCTTTCCACTGTTTATTCCAGCTGTCTGCAAAACTCTTTTATACACTGCAGGTGAAACACTTCAGTGTATAAAAGAGGACAAAGGACATACCTGTGCATCCTCGATTGTAGCTTCTTGTAGCAAGACCTGCAGATGCATTTTAGGAACTGAGACAGGAGGAAGAACAGGGGACATGAGAAGGCACAAATTAGAGAAATGAGAAAACCCTTTAATCTTTCACTTGGCCTTGGCCTGCTTTCCCATGTATGTAGCTGATTCAACATGGGCTGTTTGAAGAGGTATAGAATAGATATACTACTACATGTGAGGTCACATGAAATCATAGAGACTTATTGGGAAACGAGAGGTTGATTTTCCTGCTTTAGTAAAAATACTCCACCTGCTGGCTATCCTCTGCTTTTAGGGTGAAAGTTGTGAGTAAAAAAAATATCCTCACATATAAGGATATTCACATTTCAAAGCATACCAAACTGCAAACTGCAAACTGCACTGCAGAAGATCAGCAGGAACAGTACAGTGTGTAGAAGTATTATTCTCCTCAATGTGCAGTGTTGTGATTTAGTTTGGTTTAATGTCCCTTTCACCCAGATTTATTTAGTCTGTTACAGGAAACACGTCAGTCGAAATGGATATTTTTATATGTATGTTGTTATTTTTACCTAAAAACGACACACACGGTTATTTTAATGTAAAGCTATAACAGACAAATCATATAAAAGACAGAAAGAATGTGATTATGTGGCCTTTTTAAAGAAATATATATTTCAAACAACTTTTTTGTTTGTTTAATTTCAGATTTAGCAAGATCACTTTTGTTTTCACTTTTTCATTTTTCTTCCTCTATTACAAAGTTTTGCTTCATGCCAGTTACAGTATTCTGTTATGTCTGTTTTAGTATTAGGATGCCATACATGTGTTTCCATATTCAAGTCACGAAAGTATTTGAGATGTCTTTGATGATATTTTTTTTTCTGTTTCCTGCTCCTGGCTAATTTTTTGTTTTTATGTGTTATGATGTCCACAAACTAATAGGCTACATGTTCCTGACTATTTTAGAAAATATTTAGCATTATTGTTGTTCATTTGTTTGTTTCCAGTGGTTTTATGTTACTGAGGTGCTTTGGAGTATAAAAACATTGTCCTGAAATACTGCCCTGACAAGCTTGTTGTCCACTTGCGCACATTCCTGTGAAACAAACAGCTGCTTCCTGTAGTCATTTTACAATAAAACGAAGGGTTTATGTACAGTCATGAGTAAAGACAAGTAAAAACACCTTCTTTGAATCTGAAATGGGCCTGCCTGATCTCACAAGCAGCCTTCTGTCAAACAGGAAGTCACTAATCCCAGTGTAGGTGGGAGCAGGCGCATTCAGCCTGGAGAGACGTAGAGCTGGGATGATGGTGTTGAAAGCAGAACTTTAGTGCAAGGGATCCAGGAGGGGGCGAATGATGGGTTTGAAATGCGACAACACAACATCCTCAAACATTTTCATTACTAATGAGGTCAAAGCAACAGGACTGTAGTCATCAAGGCGAATTTTAATTGTTTTTGGGAAACAGAAAAATGGTGGAGGCCTTAAAGCAGGCTGGCACATTTCTCCAGCAAGGTATTGAAGATATCAGCTGAAGTACTTCGGAAGTCTGCACAAGCTGTTTTGCAAAGGTTCTGTCTAATGAAGAGTCTATTTACATCTCTTTCAGAAGCAGTTTATGAAAAATTAAGTACACCACATAAATCAATAGTTTATGGAGCCTCCTTTAGCATCAATAACTTAAAGTAATCGTTTTCTGTATGACTTGCAGTCTGACTTGGAATTTTACCCTACTCTCTGTTACAGTGTTGCTTCAGCCCATTGAGGTTCAGGTTATATTAAGGTCCTGTCCTGTTGTATGAACCAGTTTTGACCAAGCTTTATCTATGAGACAGATGGCCTTACATTTGATTCTTGAATAATTTGGTATGCAGAGGAGTTCATGGTCGAGTCAGTAACTGCAAGAAGCCCAGAGCCCGTGGCTGCAAAGCAAATCCAAATCTTAACACCTACACACACTGCTTCTGCTTTTGGGTTAGTTTTTGCTAAATGACACATTGTAATATGTGTCATTTAGCAAAATGTGTCATATGTGTCATTTAGTTGATTGTCAGAGGTTTAATTTTCCTAATTTTGAGGCCTGCTAAGGATCAGATTATTTTATTATGTCCTGATTTGTAAAACCTGTGAATTGAAAGATGGTGTACTTTCTTTTTGCCATGATTATAATGTGAAAAGAGGGATTGTAAGTGTTATCAGAAACTAATCAAATAAGCTAAAAGGAATTTGTTCTCTCCTTTTTCCTATACTAAATAAAAATATGTCTGGAAGCGTGAGAGGGTAATTCTAAATTAATACGTTTGTATAAGATACATGGATTGTGCGCAGCCATTTATAAATATAGTTGTGGTCAGAAGTGAAACGCTCATCATGGGCCTGAATTTCTTGGTAATTTTGAACTGTTCATTTCCCAGGATGGAACGATTGTACAGCATACATCTTTCTTTGTTCAAAAAACACTAATCTGAATTTATTTTGTTTTCTCTCTAATCCACACAAGATCACAAGTGCACATGCAGGCTCAAATATATATATATATATCCACTCAAATATTTTAAATGTTAAAGTTCTGCAGTTTCATTTAACTTGACGAGGCCTACTAACTTCGCATTGGTGATTATGATTGACTATAACTGTAGTTTGTCTTTGCCAGCATAAAAAGAATTTGTTTGACAGCACTCACTGGCCAACACTCAGAACAATGAGAAATTCCAAGGAACTGGAAACTGCTGGAAGACCAGTGTCAGAAACTGAACTACTTGGTCACAATAACAGAGGGTATGTGTGGAGGGGCAAAGATGATGCTTTCAAATATAAGAACACTGTACCAGCTCTTAAGCATGGTGGTGCTAGCATCATTCTCTGGCGCTATTTTGCTGTCAGTAATTGTGGTACATTGCAGAAAGTGGATGGAATAATGAAGGAGTAGGACCACCTCCACATTCTTGCAAAGATAGTAGTAGTAGTTAGACAGAAGCTAGATAGTTAAAGCCAGAACACAGCTGGGTGCTCCAGGTTAGGTTCATGACACACATCAAAACTGGACCGAATAAATAACTGTGCATCGAATTATTGTGTTTTGTGTAAGTCATTAAAGAAGTATGCTATGCAGTACGTAAACTTCTAACCACAACTTAATGCGTGCACAATATGTAGATGGTTTGTGACACACAGTAATTATTTGTGTGATTATGTTTTTCCCTTCCTTCTTTAACTGTATGTAGGTTGATGATATGAAATTAAAAAAATAAAATAAAATTTGAAATAAATAAATAAAACGGGTTTTATGGGACGAATTCAAAGATGAAGAAGAGAATGTATGTCATTTGAACACACCGGATGAGCACCCTTCCCTTCCTCCTTTCGGCCGGGTTGGTGTGTCTTCCTTCCGGCTTTGCCGAAGAAAGTTGAGGGAGGTTCAGCAGCAACTGGGCTTTTACATAATGGACAGCCAGGGAAGGAAAGTGGTGGTCTGCGACAATGGGACGGGGGTAAGCTTACCGTTTTAGCTCGGCGTGTTACCAGCTCGAGTCTTGCTCTAAAAGGAGCCGTTATGTCGACTGATTTGCTGAAACAGGAAGTGGGTCTGTCACCGTCCAAGCTAGCTAGCGTTAACTGGGTGTGTAGCTAGCCAGTTAGCCTGCTAATTTTCATTCATCCAGTCCTGATGCGGAAACGGCCCGCGGATTGGATGGGAATGCACGGATAAAATGTAATTAAAATCTCTAGTTGTATTGCTCCCTCCTGCATAACTCCCTTAATTAATAGTTAACGTCCTAGGTGCAACCACCGGTTAGTAAGCTAACCGAGCTAGCCTTTCTAGTTAGCTTTTAACAGCTGGCTGTCTGGTTTCTGCTGTCTGGCAGCTGCGTCAGTCATTTCAGCGATTTGTTCGGCAAACCACACGGAATTTGCAGATTCATTCTTTCCATGCTGTAGTCGGGGTTTGCTTTCCAAGGACGAGAGCTACATGTTTTTTTCACTCAGTGTCGGCTAGGTGTAACGCTAGCTAGGCCGTGTCAGGTGAATTGAGGAACCACCTTTACGTTTTCTCATTCCGCAGCTAACACTAACTTCGCTCATTAAAATTTTAACCCAAGCATCCATTAGTAAGGAGTCTGGAAAGACCTCAGCAGGTGTATTTCTGCACGTATCTTTGGATCTGCACGTCGGCTGTGTGTTTACATGTACTTATTGATTAAAAGTGGGGGCTAAACACTCGGAAGTTATGGGTGTTTAAAATGAAACATTGCGAAAGAGCCCCCACCACAAAGGAAAGTAACCACCATCCAAAAAGCTGCTCATATTTGCACTACATCAGATACATTTTTGTGGTCTTTTCGTCCCCAATAGTAATTATCAACATGAATGATATACTGCTGTATTTCCTTGTAGCTGTACTCGCTCTTAATAAAATACTCAGCTTGTGTGCCATCAAGCATTTAATATAAACTTTACTGAGCTTTGTTTATGCTTCTAAATTGCTTCTTGCACACACACAGGTAGCACTGTTTCTTTTGGGGTGTGCAGGCTTCCTTGTCTAAACGTCAGCAGTCAAAGAGGATGTTGGCTCAGCATGTTACTGACTAATAAGGCTCTTTTGAGTTGTGAGTCTTTCAAGAGCTTTCTGTGAAACAGAGGGAAAAAACAGCCCTGTGTCAGAGTTGAACTGAGAAGTCAAGAGGAAGTGAGACGAGTCTGAACCACAGCAGTATATGTCACTAGCAAATTTGTTAAGAGCGCTGTTGCATGCTTTTTCACAGTCCAATGCAAATGCGGTTTCTTTCCTTTTCTTTTTCGCATGCAGAAAAAGTTTAGACTATTTATTGTTTAGTTTACTCTTGATAGTCTTTCAATGAATTTTACCATAACGGTTTCCAAATTGCATGTTTGCAGTCTGCATCCCTTGTTACTTGGTTACATTTTGTGCTGTGTATTGATGCAGAAAATGTTTTAATAGTTGGTTCAAAGCAAATTAAATTGGTGCAAAAAAGGGTGTGTAGAATCAGAAAACAGGCAAATATTTTAATTAGAGCTAAAACAACTTCCTGTAACGGTATTTGCGGCTGATATTTTAGAGGTAATCGTACACCAGCGCACCCCTGATGCTATCTTTTCCTGGTCTTCGGTTACCTGAGCTCATGCAACTATTCTAGCTGAGCGCAAAGAACAGCAAATTGTCTATATCTCCATTTGGTGTAAATGATAGTCTTTGTAGCTCTCACAAAATTGATTTTTACAAATGGTTCTAATAATATTTTATTTGTTGGTAATAACACAGAGGGGTTTTCAATGTATAAATGTGAAAAACACAGATGCAGAATATTAATCTTAAATATCTTTGTTTGTTTTTTGCATTAAAAAGGAAATTAGGCACAGATATAAAACATCTTGTATACTTGAGTCTACAAATACAGGAACTGAGCACATTTAGACATGCAGTACATGAAACGTGCATCGTCATCAAACATGCTCATTCTGAATGGTAATTGGGGTCTTTGTTATCAATAGGATGATAGTGATGTTTTCAAGCTCTGTTCTAGAATTGATCTCATCAGTATTTTCTAATCACTTCGTCTGTGCTCTGGTTTTCTTCCCTTTTTGTCTCTCTATTGTAGTTTGTCAAGTGCGGCTATGCAGGCTC